AACAACATGCCTAGGCATTCTTGACAGTGAACTTCACAAGAAAAAACAACAATCAAGAAGCATCACTGCAGGACATCAAATTATTTGTATGTGACCTGTGTAAGGCTCAATTGTACTTGCGGTTGCATACCTGGTGGGTAGAACAACAATTGGAGAGCCTTATTTTGATGTGAATTAAGATTGTCTGAGCTGTGCTGTAACAGACACTATTACTCTTATAGATCTATAAAATTACATGGTTCTGGCACTTTAACTTGTATCGGAGGAACTAATATAGGAGCCTCATGAATTTCATATTTAGGGAAAATGGTTTTAAGTAGTGCAGTACAACAGCTAAGCATATGCTAAGAAACACCCCCCTCCCCCGTTCAAATATCATTTCAATTGTAAACTCAATATAGAGAGCAAGCACCTGTGTTAACCTGTTAGATAGCCAAACATATCTAACATATATCAGAATCCAGAAGATTAGCTTACAGTGCAAATGCAGAATATTGGGTTTGCTGAATAAATGATGGTTAAGTTTTCCTTGCATAAGCAGGTAAGCCTGCCATGCCAACGCAGCCAGTGAACTTAATTATGATTACCTAGCTTAGTCATGGGAATGATTTTACTGCATCCTTTATACAGGCAATTTGGGCTTTGAAATGGCGTGCACACACACACACACACACATACTTACAAAGAAATGAATGCAACCAATGGCTGCTGTTGCTAATTCCTAATCCTACTGCCTCATCGACATCTACAGACCCAAGTTGTCTATAGAGCAAAGAGCTGAAAAAGCTCACACTGAATGTTTTATGAATTCCTTTGTATTTCAGGGTCATACAAAGTGTGAATTTAGGTTTCATGATACAACCATAAGCAAGAACTGCCAAGTGATTCTTCCTAGACGCTGAGTTCACTGAACTGAGGCATGTCTTCTGCCTCCTGAGAGTGGTCTGGTATTTAAGTTCCATTTAGTTCAATTTGCCAAAATGAGATTGCAGACGAACTGGACAGAGGTTTACCGCCAACAAGTAGCATCACAACAGAGGATTCAAAAATGTCTCCACATTCATTTTTCAGAGTGTCCAAGCTTGGCCCTCCATCTGTTAGATCCATGGTGGCAACTTCCTGTTCCTTGGCAACGTTGAGATACGAGGTTCTTTCTTCACACAGCAACTCTGCTGCCGGATCTGAATTCAATTCTGCACTGGTTGTGGTTTGATAGGGGGTGAATCCTAGAGAATCCCTTGAAGACTGGCAAAACGTTTTCATTTCTATGTCGGAGCCACCCTCATTGTTGAGTATCTGGTATGTAGGCTCCTCGTGAAGATACTCAAAAAAACAGGTGTGCTGCTTAGAAAGAGTCAGTAGCCTTGAACAACCCTTTTCTTTAGACTTCAAGGAACCAAGCGATCTCAGTGGGCAATCAGCAGTCCCTTGGAAACCAAATCCAGTTGGCAGCATCTGATGATAAGCTTTGGAGGAAAGTGCCTCTGAGCTAGGCAATTTTATCCACGTTTGAGATGGAAAATGATATTGCCACAAAGTACTATTTGGGTTACTGTTAGAAATGCCTCCGCCAAGGACTAGCATGGAATCTTCCAAGATTAAAGCCGAATGTCCCACCACTCTTGGAGGTCCCTGGCTGGAGGCAAACACAGCAGAGATAAATCAGCACAAGGGTGACACTTACACTCATCAAAATGGGCTCAATTTCTCAATGCTTCTCTCCAGTCAGGGTAATACATGGAAAAGTCATGAACCACTTTCTATAGTCCATCCCAAACAGTTCCCATAAATTATGTATTCGGGTATTGTTAAAAGACATGGGAATATTGTCCATGCTCCTTAAATTGTCTCCTCTGTGCATTATTTATTTATTATTTGTTTATTTATTTATTTATTAATTATAAAATTTATATGCCGCCCAATCCTGAAGGATTCCGGGCGGCTTACATGCTTTCACTTATTGGTTATTATGATTCTTCTGCCACTTCAGGATTTCTTTTTCAAAATGCAAATACCATGCATTCATAACTGGGCAACGGCCCAAATAAAAGGGACAAACCACATAATCAAAAACATTTGCTTCTAGAAAAATAAAACCCTCCCTTCCAAAGGTACCCATATTAGAAACCACAACTCTGTATCAGGGTTTTTCCTGCCTTTGCCTTCCCATACCACTCAAGTCCCCCTCAGACAACCTTCTCCCTGTTTTCAATTGATGTGCAAACATCTTTAAATCCCAGCTAACATACAGTAATTGGAATGTTGGGATGCTAGTCTTCATGGGCTAATGTGTAAAAAGATTGACTTGCTCTTCTGTGTAACTCTAGGAACAATTGGCAGGGGGAAAACAGTCATATCTTCACCCTCTTAAACTCCTTTTGAAACTGCTAGTGAAGTTACATTCAAACAGTTACCTTCTCCTGATACTGAACCAGTTGGTGGCTCTAAAGTTCCACATCCAGAAGTCCTTCTGTTCGCTCAGTCCCATTAATCCTCCAAACAAGTACATGCCATTGCCGTAAACCACAGCAGAATGACCATGTCGGGGACCTGGGCTACTCCCACTGGATGCAGCTGATAGAGAGGCCCATTGTTTTGTATCTGAAGGAAGACGGTTATTAGAGTGCATTACCTTTTAAATAGATACAACACATTTTGTATGTTTCAAAGGGTTTTTCCTCACATCTTGCATTATTTATACATTAGGTCACTGCTGAGAAAGTTTAAACTTACCAAAATGAAAGGTCCAGAATTCTTGGGAAGCACCTTTAATGTCAATGTATCCCCCATATATGTACATATTGCCCCTGTAGACCACAGCACTATGGCCCTTCCGATTAACAGGAACCTGAACCTAGAGATGGAGAGAGAAGACAAAATTGAGCAACCATCCTTAATTATCGTTGCCATCACACCAATAGAAAGCAGACAATATCCTAAGGCAGCGGTGTCAAACTCAATGCTCACAGGCCTCATTCGGCCTGCAGGGTCCTTAGATCTGGCCTGCAGGGCTGTGTTGGAAACAGCAAAGGACTGGCCTACGGTGCCTCTTGTCAGCAAAAACAGAGCTCAGGAGGGCTGCATGTGGCCTTCCCAGGCTCCGCTTTCAGCTGCAACGGCCTCCTGCAGCCCTTCGTCAGCAAAATGACTTCAGGCAAGCTGTCACAGCCGAAAATGGAATCTGGGGAGGCCGTCGTGGCCAAAAACCGAGCCTCAATGAGTGATGTCGAGCTGGCCATACCCATTAGGCCATGCCCTCCCTGCCCCTGGGGGTCAAACACAACCCTGATGTGGCCCTCAGTAAAATTGAGTTTGACACCCCTGTCCCAAGTAATTCATACTGGTCTACTTAAATGGTCCTTTATGTCTTCCCCAGCAGTTCACATTTTAGCAACATCCTTCTAAAATAGTATTGCTTTCCAGTTTGTTTACATTTATCCCTATAGATGGAATCTCACTACTCCCACTAAAATTATTGAACATCTCCATAAATTAAGAGAATGGACATGCATATGTATGTAGATATGAAGACATAGATGAATGGAAAATATACAGATTCCAGAGATACATTATATATTAAACTATATTTTGGGAGGAGGGAGAAGAAATGACTTCAAAGTTTCCTACATCATACAGATGATGTTCTCCTACTGCTAAACAGGAAGGAAAATGGGAAGTCAAAACTGTCAAAATATAACTTCTGGCTAAGTCTGTGGAATTATGATTGTAAGGAAAGTAGAGGGATTTATGCATGAATGCTCCACATTTGTTTTGCCCAGACCCGCACATAAGACCATGTCCCTTTAAAGGCTAGGAATTGAATGGCGCTCTCTTGGTTGGTCTGAGTTGAATTGTGGTAGTGCAGATGTCTTCTGCTCCCTGAGTTTCTCCACGTTTAATACAGGGAGTCTGGTAGCGCCTTTTCCAGCTAACAAAATGTATTAAAAGGCATAAGCTTTTGTGAGCTTGGGGTAACTTTGACATATGCATAGAGTGGCTAGTCTGAGGCAGGATTTAAATTGCAGGGAGGAAGGGGATGGGAAATGAGGGAGAGACAGGTTGGTTATATTGAAACTCTGCTAACTCCTACAAGGAATTCAATCTGAAATAATTGCCTACCTAAAATTAATTGCAGCCAAAGAACCATTTTTATTTCAACATTCAGAATTAAAGAGATTCATTTTCAAACATGAAGTGTGAACAATATGAATGTCCCAGAAAACCAAAAGCAGCAACATCTTTAACTTACCCTGCTACTTCATGGTGGTGGCTCATCTAGTCTGGAGCAGTTTTCAAAGTATGTAACTAAGCAAGCTATTTGATCAACAAAGCAACAGGTTTCGTGGATGATTCATTATATTTTAGTTGTGTTATTCCTTACCTCCCCCGTTATTGCTGGGAACCGGCAGGCTATCCACTTGGTTGCATCTGCAGGTGTATAAAATGTCAGTCATAGCATTAACCACAAGAAGGTGCTACTGTTCTGCTTGCAGTGCTAGGCAAGCACTAAAAGGAGTGATTGGCAGAAAAAGTTGCAGGCTGTATTTTCTTTATCAACAACACGCAATATAAATGCAGCTCCAAATACAATTTTCAAGGCAGTGAATGGCAATGTTCTCTTCATTTTAGGAACTGTTTCTAATAGCAAGGGAAATATCACAATCTTGGGCTGTTCATGTGGGTAAGACAACAATTCCCATGATTCCCAGGTTTTGAGTAAGTTAATATTGAATACTACAGGTTTAAAGCCACTGAAGGGTATCAATCAAGAACAGGGGTGTCAAACTGGTGTCCCTTGGGCCGAATGCGTCATGCGCAGGCCATACCCACCTGAGTTCCACAAATGGGAAAAACATCACAAAACATCATGTTACATCAACATTGCCATGACCCGGCAAGCTTGACACCCATGATCTGGAATGGGTATCAAATTCTATTTCATTGAGGGCCGCATCAGGGTTGTGTTTGACCTCAGGGGGCTGGGCTGGAAGTGGCCAGGGTGGGCGTGGCTAGCTTAATGTCACTCATGTCGGGGGCAGCTGAGGTGGCCCAAGCGCTGTGCCAGAGAAAACAGGCTCCCATGCCCCATTTTTGGCAATGACGGCCTCTGGCAGTAAAAACAATTTTCGCCGTTTTCAGTGCCCAAAGGTTTTAGGAAGCCATCGCAGCCAAAATGAGGCACTGCAGGCTGGTCCTTTACAGTTTCCAGGGCAGCCCGGTGGGTGTCAGCTTCTGCTTTGCTACTGCTTCAGCTGCCATGAAACGGGAAGGGGGGGGCGTGTATGTGGGAGGGTTTTAATTGATGTGCTGGAGGACTGCTGGAGGAATGTTCTAGGATGTACCAGTCGTTGGGATTGCGCAGGCGTACGTGTTTCCCGCCTGAGGTTTTCTCACGGCCCCTGGCTCCAGCGAAGTTTGTTGAGGTGGTCTCTGGGTGAGTCCAGCATTCCAGCTTGTCTCTATCTCTCTTTGCCCCACCGAAGTTGACCAACGGGGTAGAGGGGAAGGCTCAGGCTGACTGGAAATTTGCAGTTGAAATAAATCTTCGTGCAGAGGTCGGTCAGACGGGCTGGGCTGGT